TGCACCTCCTGCTGCTGCTGCTGCTGCTTTGCTTCCTCCTCAGGTGTCCCTCATTTATTATCCTTTTCAGCTGTCTCCCAAGTTGCTGCTGCTTCCCTAAACCCTAAACCCTAAACCCTAAACCCCAAGTCCTCTTCTTCAGGTGTTTCTCAGTCTTCTTTTAAGCTGCCTTCCTGGGCGTTAGTCCGGCCTCAAACCCTAAACCCTAAACCCCAAACCCTAAACCCTAAACCCTAAAACCTGTGCCCTCCTCAAGTTTCCCCAGTACAAAAAGCGCACTGGAATCCAACAAACACTCTGAGTAGTTGCGGAGCTACGCCAGTGCTGTTGCTGCCGCTGCTGCTGCTTCTGCTGCTGCTGCTGCTGCTGCCCCACTAGCAGCTGGTGCTCGCGCTGCCACTGTGCTGCAGCAGCAAATAAGAACTGCTGCTGCGCCTTTGGTTTGCTGCAGTTGTCTATGTTGTTGGAAAGGGGCTACACCTGGAGCGCAGCAGCAGCAGGCGCTGCTGCTGCTGCTGCAGGGCGGCTGCTTCTGCTGCTGCTGCAGAAGCCGCTGCTGCTGCTGCTGCAGCAGCAGCAGAGCGAAGTGTACATACACCCCAAGCACACTACAGTGTCACGACAGATGCCTCCGGGACAAAACCCTAATTAGGGAATTAAGTTCAGACTTAAACCTGCTTCTTCTCTGGCCCCTAGCAGCAGCAGCAGCAGTTGCTGCTGCTGGCGCTGCTGCTGCTGCTGCGTCTTCGGGGCCCGCTGGGACGGTGTCGCTGCTGCTGCTGCTGCCGCTGCTCGAGTCCACAGCAGCAGCAGCAGTCGTTGCTGCTGCTGCTGCTGCCTCAGGGTCTCCTTCGGCTTCGCTGCGGCGCCGCTGCTGCTCGAGGTGCCAGTCGCTGCTGCTGCTGCTGCTGCCGCGCTGCCGCCGCTGCCCGTCTTCTGCTGCAGCAGCAGGAGCAGCAGCAGCAGCAGCAGCAGCAGGAGCTGACCGCCGGCTAATGAAGATTCTGCCCGAAGTGCTGCTGCGGATTCGCCGCAGCAGCGCCCGCCGCTGTGGAAGCCCCCGAGGGGCGTTGCTGCCACCCCCTGCAGCAGCAGCAGCAGCTGCTGCTGCTGCTTCTGCTGCATCGCCATCAGCAGCAGCAGCAGCAGCAGCAGCACTTGTGGGGCGCATCGAAGCCACAAGGGCCCCCCAGAGTCTGCGGCGTCTGCTGTCTGCTGCTGAATGGGCCCTTCTGAATCTCCTTCTTCTCCAGTGGAGTCTTTGCTGCTGCTGCAGCGGGGGCCCCTCTCCCCCCTGCTGCTGCTGCTGCTGCTGGGGGGCTGCTGCTGCTGCTCTGAACAGCGAAAAACGCCGTGCTGCTGTCCTGCTGCGCTGCTGCCGCCGCTGCAGCAGCGCA